ATATTGGAGGGACTTATCATGTAAATATTAATTACACTTTAGTCCTTGGAGAGTAGTATAAATAGAGGTGCCACCATTTGCAAAGGCACCAAGCAAGTTGTAAGCAATCTTCCAAAGCTCAATACAAAGCCTTCTTCAAAAGCTCTCTCTTTGTTCTTTCCAAACTTTCCTTAAACATTCTCTTAGCAAACCAAGTCCTAAAGGCTTCCTTGAGTTTACAAGAAGCTTGAAAGATTAGTGAGTAAACCGTCAAGGGCCGCACGGATCCTTAGCCATCACTCTAAGTCCGTGACATATAGTCCTTTAATTTTCCACTCTTTTGTCAAGTTTGTTTTCTATCCACTTCTTATATCCACCATTAACAAACGCGTCATTCAGTAATCTCTCTCTTGATTTTCTTTTTCCCTCCTCTTTTCTTCATTGTGAGACGCTACAGTAAAAAAAACCCTAGAATTTATATTTTGGCGAGTTTGGCGCAGTTTTTATGCTAGTTTTTGTGTAGTTTGGTGCTGATTTTTGGTGGTTGGATGTTGCTATCTATGCAGCAGTTTGATGACGTTTTTGGAGTTGTGTTTTGTGCAGTTTGGTGTTGATTTTTTGGTGGTTTGATGTTGCTGTGGTATGTATAGTTTGGTGTTGATTTTGCAGTTTTCTGTTGATTGGGTGTTTTGGTGCTGCAATTCGATCGAAGTTTGATAGTTGCTATTTTTTTTCCGGTAGTTTAAGCTATTTTCTGCACAAATACTGTTGAAAACAGAGCACTATAGTTCAATTCAGTTGCTGATTTTTGAACTTTTCTGGAATTTTATGCAGTTTCATTGATGTAATGATCGATTATTAACATGAAAATATAATCATATTTATGTTCAAATGTGTTCGTTACTTTGCATTTTGCTTTAACTCGCATGAAATAACGATCAACGACATAATTGCAGACAATGAAGAAAAGAATTGAAAAAAAAAAGTGAGATAATAGACAAAGGTAGGGGTGTTCATGGGTTGGTTTGGATCGGTTATTGGTCAAAACCAAAACCAAACCAACTTAATCGGTTTTAAAATTATCAAAACCAAACCAAACCACATATAATATACATTTATCGGTTTGGTGATTATCGGTTTCGGTTTGGTTTGGTTATTCGGTTATTAACCATACACAAAAATAAAAGAAACAATTCATTTAAAATATGAAAAAAGTGACAACAATCCATTCAAACGAAAAAATAGTTA